TTGCCCTCGTCAATATTTCGCAGGAGCACTCAACACCTGGCAGGCTCCCGAACTTTTAGAACCCCTTCCACACCTCAGCCCATCCACGACCACCTTTCAGCCACCATACCGGCCAGCCTCCGCTCTCGATACAAATGGGGCTTCCGAAAAGACTTCACAATACCATATGGCATCGTCCACCTCAAGGCTAAGAAGCAGTGGCAAAAAGGACGCACCATTATCTCTTATTTCCATTCCCTGAGTGGCAACCTCTTGACATCCACCTCCACGCAACCAATGATGACCTTGTCGGTTTCTTCAACTCGGTGCCCCAACACCGCCTCATTGATGCAGTTCATTCCATGATCCAGCAATGGCAGCTCCAACATGCTACACACACCTTGACCGTTGACACAAAAGCCACTGGCAACCCTTTTCATCACTCCCACGTTGGCCGACACTACACAAAACATCCCACACAACGCACCCTCCATACATTCGACATCACCACCATTGTGGCCTTTGCACTCAACACTTGCATTTTCCGGGCGTGTAACAACACCTACAAGCAAATCCGAGGGGCTGGGATTGGCTCCCAACTCTCTCCTGCCCTCTGCAACGTTGCAATCACCCTCATTGAACACTCCTGGCACCAGCTTCACAACAACCTCCTCCAACACACAGCCCTACACTTCACCTACTACAGGTACGTCGACAACCGTTTCATCGTGCACAACGAACACTTCCTCTCCCACCCGGCCATACAGACTCTCATCCACCACAACTTCTTTGGTGATCCAGTTGAGCTGGAAACAGTGGAGGACTTTCACCTCCTCGGCTTCAACATTGACCTACCACAACGAGCCATCACCTACATCCAACCCACACAACCCTGGAAAATCAGGGACCCACCAGCGCCGGTAGCCAGCGCTTGGCTCTTTCCGGCTTAGCTTCCCGACTCCATGCAATCTACACATACACCTTTCCACCCACTACCGCAGCGGCAGCGGCTGAAGACCTTGTCCGGCTGTATGTCCAAAAAGGACATGACCAAACTGCGCGCCGGCGCTTTTTGAGAAAAACAGAGGCCAACGTCTTTTCATGCACCTGCGCCGACTTCGGCCACCTGTGTGTGTGTGTGTGTGCAACCCTTGGAGTCATAGGGCTTCTTTTGAAGTTTGCT